GGAGAGCGAAACTAGAGTTAGCTAAAAGGGAAGCCAGAGAGCGAGGAAAGGACAAGCTGCCCGTCGTTCTTTTCCTCAGTTTCTGCCTTTTTGTGTGAGCAGACCACAGCTGGGGGGAGGAGGGAAGGTCTTTCCTTTGCCCGAAGACTGAACTGTCCATCATCACATGGGCCAAGGATTTTTAATTGAGGCTGCATCTGCCACCTGAAGAGCCTTTGGTGTCGATGAGAAAAACCATGGGACAGTCCAAGTTTTTATCAAGGGACAGGGGAAAATAAAGCCCACATCCACTTTAAGGAAGCAGCGGGAGGTCCAGGTGCTTTCTGAGTGAAGTCTGGTTGCACATGGTGGCCAGAGTTCTGGACCCGATGAGTGAGGGTGCAGGGTGGACCATTAGCTGGCCAGCCAGATGGCCTCTCCCATTTCTCCAGGTGGAGGCACCACTGGGCGTGGGGTCACCTGGCAAGGAACTGCGTTTCCCAGCCCTTCCCACAGGTGTGCATGGCCAGTGGAAGTGAGTGGGAGGGCCTGAGAGCAGCATCCTCTGCAGTCTCTTCCCCTACTCCGCTGGCTGAACTTGAATGTGGTTCATGTGGTGACTATGGCTTTGACCTTGCAGATGGTGACATGGTCCTAGAGATGGGGTGGCCTGAAACCTGGATGCCCAAGTGACCTGTGGAGCAGAGCCACCCCCTGGCCTCGCGCACTCATCTCAGACTTTCCCATGAAACAGTTCCTCTGTTGCAGTGGCTGGACCTTTTGCAACGAGCTGTAGAGCATCTCACTCCCTATGAATGACATCTGCTCAAGGTTGCTGAACTACATTCAGATGTCGCACCTCAGCCTCCCAGTCTCTCCCTCCAGAGAGCAGCCCCTCAGCCAACTCAGTTATGAAAACTCTGGGGAGAAAACATGCTTTGCAATCAGACGTGGATTCTAGCTCAGCTCTGCCACTTAGAGCTGTGCAACCTCAGACGAGTGGCTTCACCTCTCTGGGCCTCGATCCCCTGGTATGTAAAGTAAAAAGGGAGTCATAATCCTTCCACACAGCTTTGCCATGAGGATCCAACAAGAGGTTGCAGGTGAAGGCCCAGCACGGTGTTCAGTGCACAGTAGGTCTTCAACAAAGGCCACGCTCCCTCCCTAGCCCCGTTCCCAGCAGCCTTTGCTGCTGAGCCCCAGCTGGCCTCCCGTCAGCCCCAGCAAGCCGTGAGCCAGACTGAAGTTTTTCTTTTGAGTAAGTGACAGGTTCAGGGAGGCGGAACGGAATAAGTACTTGGAGTTCGCAGCACAGAATTCTCTGAAATCAGATTCCCAGCGTTCCCGTCCCAGGATCGGGAACTAAGCCGGCTGTCTTGCGCTTGTCTGTGAATGGTTTCACTGTGGGGGAATTTTCCTACTATCCTATTCTACCCTCCGTCCCAGGGCTAAGCAGAGATCTGTGGGGCAAATGTCCTCTGCTGCAGCCAGCCCCGCGCTCAGTCACCCCGTCCCAGGGTGAGCCTAGGGGATGCAGGGAGCCGGGGCCGGGGCCGGGCTGGAGCAAGCATGTTCTGTTTAGCAACGAGCGGAATGTTGTGGATTATGTAATGGGAATAGTAATTCCTCCTTGCAGAGAACATAGGGTTGCAAGGGGCTATTCGTATGTTGTCTGGTCCAACTGCCCAGTCTCCACCTCCCCTGTAGAGATAAAGAAGCTGAAGTGTCTGGGAAAGGACATGACTTATTCATAGTCCCCAGCGGAGCAGGGGAGTGGCAGAGGTGGCCCGGGGCTTGACGCACAGGGGAAGGCTTGCCCTAGGAGCCCAGCTGCGTCCCGCTAGCCCCTCTTAGAGCACCGAGCTGGCCCGTGATACCGGGGGTGGTGTTGGCCTCCATGTCTCATGCTTACAAAGACCAGGACTGGGAAAGCGTCAACGTGATTTACCTCCCATACTTGCCCTCTCTGCCCAGTGTGGCCAAAGGATGGGAGGGGAGCTAGGCTCCCAGGTGGGCAGAGCGGGGAGCTCTCCTCCTGCTCCCCTCATACCCCAGGCCCACCTGGTCTTGCTTCCACCCTGGCCAGGCTCACCTCACCTTGTGAATGTCTGGACAGAGATCTCGCCCTCTGAATTGGGAGCCCCATCACCTACACGCTCGGTGACAGTTGTTGATTGATCAAAAACACAGACCATTGATGCAAAATCCTTTCCTCACCCACATGAAGCTAAGATGGCCTCTGGTTTCGAATCCTCCCTCTGCCACGGCACCAGCTTTGTGCCATCTTGGACAAGGTAGGGGGACAACAGGGTGAACATGAGGAGCAGGTTTCTCATGGAGCTGAAGAGGGGGCCGGGGCTCGAGACACAACGTGTAGAGCACGCAGCAGGTGCAAGACTGGTCTCCTCCTCTTGCCTCCGCCGTGGGGGCAGGTTCGGGGTGGCACAGGCTCAAGACCCTGTCCCTCTGCCTCCACCCCCATCCCGCTTCATTTCCCATGAAGGCTCGCTCTGCTCGCCCAGTGTTTATTGAATACTGTCCAGAAAGTTGTACATCAAATCAACCATAGAGACCTGGGCTCTGTCCCAACCTTGAGGACCAACCGTCCAACTGAGACTGCCCACTACTGACATTTGGGGCCAGATAACTCTCTATTGTGGGAGATGACCTGAGCACGAGGGTACTCTATCCACTAGATACTAGCAGTACTCCCCACCCAAGGCTTGGTGATTCAAAAATGTTTCCAGATGATGCCAAACGTTCCCTGGGGCAAAATCAATGGTCTACAGGAGCCTCACAGAATTCAGACATATGGTGGCCCCTAAGGGCTGATGATCCATGGGGTGGGGGGGAGTCTCTTTTGTCTGACCTCGCTACCCCTCCAGAGGGACACTGACAACTCAGCACACACCTCCCAGAAGGCCCAGAAGGGCAAGGGCCAAGAGAGGGGCACAACCTCCTATTTTGGGGTGCCCCCTCCCCCATCTATTTAAACTTGAAGACTGACTCAGTGCTGCCACCAGGCAGGCGCAAGCTAGGGAGGCCAAGGCCAGCTTTGGTTGGAGGAAGAAGCAAACCCTCTTAGAAATACAGAAAATTCACATGGTCAAGGACACAGCTTAGAAACAAACCCACTTTAATTGGTAGCGCACACAGAGATCCCGGGTAGCGGGGGCATCACGGGTGGGACCAGACCACACACCTGTCCTGGCCAGGGTACCCAGTCTGCTTAGAGGGTGCAGGCTGGGGCCGGGTGAGGGCACAGAAGCGGGGCGCCAGGGTAGAGGTATGAAGTATGCAGAGCTGGAGCTAGGGCAAGTATTTAGTTTTGTGTTCACATGTGTGTACACGGACGTATCTGGGCATGACGTACACAGGATTTATAGGAGCCCTCGAAGACCGATCTAGAGAGAGGGTCAGGGAAAAGACACCTCCGGTTTCTGAAGGCTTCCCCCCCCCCCGCCCCGGGGCTGAAGAAGCATCAAGAGAGGGGGTGGGAGTGCCGAATACCCAGACTTAGCCCCGCTTCTGCCACTCACAGATTTGCTGTGTGGGCTGGAGTGAGCAAGAGTCACTCACCCTCTCTGGGCCTCAGAAAGATTCACTAGATGATCACTAAGGTTCCTTGTAGCCCTAAGTCTCAATATTTTAAAGGAGATTAAGATACAAAATGTATTTGTTAAGAGCTGATGACAAGACCTTTGGTCTGCAGGCTCAAATCCCGCCACACCTGGGACGCAGAAGCCCAGCGCTAGGCACAAGCTAGGGACCCACGAGGAGCCTTCCCACCTACCTCTCTGGGCTCGGCGGGGGTTCCCAGCTGCTCCTGCACCCCCCCCCCAAACAGCGCACAGGGCACAGGGCAGTGGGGTGGCAGGGGCGGGCACAGGCCATGCGGGTGAGGGAAACAGGCCGAGGCTGGGGAAGGGCCTGGCCTTGGGGGCATAAAGTGCACTGCTCACCCTCTTTGTTTCCTAGCACACAGTGGACCCAGCACCCAGTAGGTGCTCAATAAATGCTTGAGGAGCGAGCACAGTAGAAGACGGCGTGGTTCTAGGCAGAGCCTTGCCCTGAACCTGGTGGGGTGGGGATGGGCTGGAACGTGCCACCTCCCCCCTGAGTCTCAGCCGCCTCCTCTGTGAAACGGGGGGTGGGGGGGCAGGAGGAGAAGCAGCCCAGCCTGCCCCCCCACCTCCCCAGTGCACGTGTAAACTGTGAAGCTCACGACGGAGGGCAGTGTCTAGCCGGAGGCAGGCCCCAGAAACCTTGTCCGGGATCGGGATCGGGGAGAGAGGTGTCCCCAGCAGAGGCAGCGGCTCTAACCTGGCGGGGGAGGGGGGGGGGGGGCGCGGGGGGTCGGGCCAACGAGGCGGGGGTAGCTTTTCAGTACAAGGATTTACGTTCCGGCAGCTACGCACAATGCACCACGGGAGGACAGCAAAGCACACCCAGCAGACAGGGGAGGAATCTGCGGGAGACGGTGGAGGCCGGCCGTCCCGGGATGGGCGGGGTCTGGGGACGTGGCCACGCCCCTCTTCCAACACAGGGTTGGCAGCCCTGGCTCACGGGTGGGGACTCCTGGGGGTCACCCCAGGGGTGTGGGGGGGCGCGGAAACGGCTGAGCCGAGACTGGAGGGCGAGCGTCCTCTCCCATTTGGCTCCGGGGCTCGTTATCACCCCGCGACTGTTCCACGAAGTTCCGTCAAGGCAGGGAGTCTGGCCCCTCCGGCATCAACCCCAAGGATAGGGCGGCTCTGACTTGGGTGCCGAACAAGTCCCGAGGTCTCCCAACCTTGTTTCTGGCCCCGCACGGAGGAGCTGAAAGCACAGGGGGACCTCAGAAAAGCAGAATCAGAGGGAAGTGGTGAGAAGACAAGAAGAACATACAGAGGTCGGAGGCTGGGGTCGCCCAGTCTGGCGCCAGAGGCCTTCGAACACGGCTGCTGTCGGGGTCCCGTTCAGGGGCGGGGAGGGGGGGGACATACGGGCAGCGGGCACCTGGGGCCACCTCCCGTAAGGCACTGCCTTAGCCCCAGCCCAGCGTCCCTCCCGCTCACTGGATGGTGCATTTGTCCCGCTCGCGGGCCTGGCCCTCCCGAAGGACCTTGGCCTTGATGTACTTGAGGTCACTGTTGACGCTGGGGCGGCGGGCAAAGGGTGAGACCATGCCGTAGGCGTCCATGTCCTTGACGCGGCGCATGCAGAAGGGCCTGGGGTGGAAGGCGTCCCCGTACTGCACGGAGATCTTGCGGTGCAGGGCGGGGCTCATCTCGTGGGGCAGCTTGGCCATGCTGAAGAGCACGTAGAACATCTCATCCACGTTGGTGTTCTTCTTGGCCGACACCTCGAAGTAGGCGCAGTTCTCGTCCCCGGACACCAGCAGCTCGGCCTCGGTGGTGGGCACCTGACGGCAGAGCTCGCCATGGTCGTTCTTGTTGCCGCAGATGACCATGGGCAGCTCCGCCGCCTCCTTGGTCTTGTTCTTCAGGCAGGACTTGACCTCCAGGATCTGCTTCTGGAGGCGCTTGACTTCGTCGAAGGACTCGCGGTTATCCAGGCTGAACACCAGGATGAAAACATCACCTGCGGGGAGAGGGACCCAGGTGGTGAGGCCACCCCTCCCGGTCACTGACTCAACCCTCCCGGCCTAAGGGGGAGTGGCTGTTCTCCCCATTTTCCAGAGCAGGAGGCTGAGGTCCAGAGGCTCAAAGCCCTTGTTCACGGTCACACAGTGAACGTGTGGCTCAGCCTGGCTCAGACACAGTTCATCCCCCCGACACTTCCCTGCAGAGCTGGAGATAGAGCGAGTTGCTTGTGAATTTGTGCAGACTGTGTTAGAATAATAATAATAAATACAATTTTCGTGGCAGCAGGGGTCTTGCCCGACTTGTTCAGAGCACATCCCCCGGGCCTGGAATCATGCCCAACACATCGCAGGAACTCAGAGTGCTGGCACCTGGCAGGCCTCGGTTCACATCTGGCCCCTGCCACTTACTGGCCCCGCAGCCTGGGGAAGGTCAGGCAGCCTCTCTAAACCTTAATTTTCTCCGTCTGTCCCACGTGGATGAAATACACCTTCTTGTGAGGGTTTCACCGGGTAATGAACGGAGAGTGGCCCAGGCTCAGAGGTCTTAGGTATCGAGATGACAAGGGGAACAAGCCCCTGCGAGAGCCAGTGTGGGTCACGTGCTTCATGCGCACTGTCCTCCCCGACTCCTCCCAAAACCTCTGCGGTGGGGATTTCAGTACCTTCCTGGTATAGGTGAGCAAACAGAGGCTCAGAAAGGGCGAGCAACCTGCCCAAAATCACACAGTGTGGACATAGCTAGGCCGAGACGTGGACCTGCTGCTGTCCTTACCTAGCCACTGCCTGGCACACGCAGGTGCTCTCTGCTTCTTGAATAAACCATGGATGAATAAGTGAGTGCTAGCCTCCAAGACCCATGCGGTCCCTGCTTCAACTCACTGCATTACTCAAGATGAGTCTTTGGGTCTGAAATGGGCCATGCAGGGGTGGCGGGGGGCTGGGGGGGGGGGGCAAGGAGAGAGAGACCAGGCAGTGCCTACACCCCAATCTCTGGATGTTACTACTGGGATTATGGCTCACGCTCAAACTTTGGCTTCAGTTTGAAAGAACCGGTGGGGAGATGTCAAAAATCCCTGTATCCCAGACAAGGAAACTGAGGCTCAGAGGCCCATGCCACATTCAGAACCACGCTCCAGCCAATGGTATACCCTTCACCATGCACTCCGGGACAGAGGGAGACGGGATCACCCACGACCTTGTCCCCCAGCACCCAGCACACAGTGGGTGTCCATAAAACTGGGTGAATGGGCAGGGTGGGATGGGAACAATGGGGGTGGGGGCTGCTGAGAGAGGCACTTGCCAGGTGGCCCCAGCCTGGCAACCGTGTCTGCGTGGGCTGCCAACCCCGTCCCATTAGGCTACGCCTGGGCCCCTGAGGACTCGGCGGCCTTGACATATTCAAATGCAAGACCGCGATGCCAAGCTTCAGAGACAGCGTGTGGCTGGCAGCTGGAAAGAGAGCTGGCGGCAGAATTAATGGCTTTCAGAACTTCCTGCGCACCAGCACCAGGTCGGAAAATGAGGCACGGGCTGGTGAGTGAAAAAAGCAAGCAGCAGACAGATGTGCTCCGAATCGTAAGTGCACGTTGAAAAGAGACGGGCAAAAGCCCTCCCTGTTATGAAGACGATACAAATATAAAGGTCAGTGTGTTCGTGGGGGGTCCAGAAGTGTCCCACCAGACTGATGGGGCGGTCACATCCGGGGAGGGGACAAGAGCCTGGCGTTGGGGACACAGGTCAAAGGGGCTTCTTTAGGCTTCTCTGTGTTTACAGGAGGGTGTGTTTGCATATCACTGATGTAATTAAAAAATGAATGTTGGAAATATGCACATGGTCCTCCTCCACATCTCTCTCCCTCCCTCTGATGTTAGCCTTAATTATATTGGTGGGCACCCAGTCTGCTCCCCAAGCCAAGGAGAGCGGACATCCCTGCACCCCCACCAGGTGGCTGGAAGTTTCCCCACAGCCACACGGGGGGGAACCAAGCCGATGTCCATTGTACGGCTGGAGAGACTGAGACTCAGACCTCTGGTCACATATTGGAGCCACCAAGTGGCTCCAGGTCAACCCAGGGCTCCTTCTATCCACACACGGCCTCTCCAAGATATGGGGTGGGGGGTCCAAGTGTGATGTGGGTCAGACGGTCAGCAAGGACAGCCTGCAGGAAGAAGCCATCTGCCCAGGGTGCTCAAGGAGGGGGCTCGGCCAGGGTACAGGGGCAGGAGTGCGCACGGCGTGGGTTTCTTGGTGCAAGAACATCTCCATTTGGGGGGTTATTTTAGTGATGGATAAGGGGCACTTGCTCATTCCTTCCCTTCATCACTGCCCAGCAGTGGGAGAAACATGGCTTAGGAAAGGACTCTCTGCCTAGCCCCGAGCAGGCACTCTATAAATGCTGAGTGAATTTAAGACCAGTGTTTACTGAGCACTTACTCTCTGTTCACCAAGCACTTCTGCCGTATTAACTCATTTACTTCTCACAGTGACCTTTGGGGTGCTCTCACACAGAGAAAGCCATGCCCCAGACAGATAAAGTCACTTGCCCAGAGGTAAAAACCAGGAAGCCGCTGCCCCAGGTGGCCCGGTCTCTGGCCCGCCCTCCTATAGCCGCCACGCAAAACTGCCTGAGTAATGCCCAGTCCTGCATCTCCACGCGCCCCCTTAATCCCTGACAATCTCCCTTCCCTCCCCACCATTCCCAGCAGGGCCAAGAGACTACGGGACAGTTTAGTGGTAGAGAATAAGAGCCAGACGGCCAGGGACCACCTGTGTTACCACCTGGACTAACTTAACCTCTCTGGGCCTCCGTTTCCCCACTTGTAAAGTGGAAGCAAAGACCCATCTCCTAGATTAATTGTGAGGATGAAATAAATCCATGCCAAGCTCTAAGAATGGGCCCAGGCACACAGCTTGATAAGCAGCATTAGCTATTGCCACCACTGTTCCTCTGATTACTACTGAGCTCCCGGCCTGGGCAGGGCTCCTGCCTACCCTTTGACTGACCGCTGCCCGGGTCCTGCCCGCCCTTACTGAGACAGCAAAGGCCTGGGGTGTCAAGAGATCTGAGGCCAGCAGACTGACCCTGGGCCCCGGAGCTCTGCTGGGCTACCTCCAGCAGGAGAGTTCCCAGAGAGGACTACCCACCCCCCGCCCCCCATAACCGCCCGCGACAGCTCCCGCTCTTCTGGAAGGCAGCCCTGCAGGACTCGATCCACAGCCAGCCAGAGTGGAACTTGGGCCCCAGCTCGATCATCCGCTCAGGCAAGCAGCCGCCCTCTCTGCCCCTCCAGGCACACCCCACCCGGGAGGCTTGTTGTGAGGGGACATGCCCACCCCGGGGACCCACCTGTGAGGATGGAGAGTCTGCGCATGGCAGGGAAGGGGTGGTTGCCGGACGTGTCCAGGATGTCCAGCTGGTACATGTCGCCTCGGATGTTGTAGACCTTTCGGTGGAAGTCCTCGATGGTGGGCGTGTACTGGTCCTCGAAGCGGCCGTTGAGGAAGCGGGAGACAATAGAGCTCTTGCCCACCCGTGAGGCGCCCAGCACCACCATGCGGTACGAGTTCTTGGCGGGCACGCTGAGCGTGCAGTTCCCGCTGGACAAGGTCTTCATCATGGCTCGGGCCGGCGGCATGGAGCGGGGAGCCGATGTCAGGAGGCCCTGCACCCGGCCCTGCAGCCTCTTGCTGGCAGCCTTGGCCTCCTCTGCGTGGCTCCGGTCTAGGTGTCCGTTTTCTGTCTGTAAGATGGGGACGTGAGACTGGGGTGTCTCTAGGGGGCCTTGCAGCCCTGCCGGCTCCGTCATTCATGCCCTCCCCGGCCTCCTTCCTCCGCATCCACCCACCCCACAGGCGCTCATCACCCTTGTGTCTGTCCACCCCTTGTTTATCCGGGCCCAGGACTGCTGGGGCCGGAATTTTTGCTTTACCCCGGCTCCCTATTGCTCTCGGGCAAGCAGGTAGCTTTGCAGAGGCCCCTTTGACCTGAGAGTCACTTCTCTCGTCTATAAACGGGACTCTACTCCCAGGACTGTTGCACATGCTGAGGTCATAAAACGTTAACTCTTGCTAGAACCTGATCTCTCCCTGGCCCCTCGGTCCTGCCCCACTCTGGCCTCCCAGGAGCTGTGAGTCCAGGGCATGACTTGGGGAAGGCGCTAGAAAGCGTTTCTCAGGCCCGGGCCTAAGGCCGTTTCAGGCCTTCCCAGCAACAGGGAAAAGGCCACGTCCAGACCACATCCTCCCCAGCCAGGGCCCAGCGATTTAAGCACCAGGCCCTGGGAATTTGCTCACTTCGGAGATCCAGAGACCTGGCCTAGGGGATGTGGGTCAGAGAAATGACCCAGGAACAACTCGAGTCCCTCAGAGCTCCAAGTGTTTATGGTCCTGGGGTATACCCAGAACTTGCTATGGAGGCTTCTCAGCCTTGTGGAAGAGACTGAAATGGGTCCCAGCTCCAAAGCCCAAATGGAGATAAATAACCCCCCAGGGCTCCAACAGCCCCACCCCAAAGGCCAGTCACAGCCCCGCCACCCTCCTTCCCTCTGTCAGCACCCACCAGAATCCACTTAGAATCCCTGAGCCCATCTCTCTGCTGGAGCTCTGTTGAGATCTGCCTCCACTTCTTAGCTCGTGCTAGTCCCTCTGCCAGAACACCCTCTTCTCTTTATGTTTCAGGGCCTGCCTCAAATACCACCTCCTCTCTGAAGGCTTCTCTGGCTCCCCAGCCCACCCCAGCAGGAATCCCTCCCCTCTCTAGAGAAAAGGAAGCAGAAATGGACACAGGCCCGCTGGAATATCGGTCCCCTCTGCCCTCAGCCTGTGGCCACACACGGTTGTGCAGGCTGGGCACTGCACAAGGCACCCAGCTGGGTGGGAAAGTAAGGGCTGTCTTTGTGGAGTTCATCTGCCCAGAGAAGGCACCTCTTTTCAATGTGCACTGGGAGCCATACAGACCAGCTCCCATTGGTCCGCACCCCTGGCTGCTCCAGCTCAGGAGCCTGTAATGCCTCATCCACTTACTCCAAGGCTCTCTCCAACATCACATTGTTCTCTGCCCTTATACTAAGAGACTGGAGGTGGAGAGACCTGTGTGTGAGTCTCCTGGCATACGTCCTGTTCGGGGCATTCAGGCATCTGCCTCTGCTCGCCCCGCCCAGCCGAGAGCCACTGTGCAGTAAACCAGCTCTCAAAAAATACCTTTTTAAGACGCTTCTATTGGTAGCATTTATCAACCTCCGTGGCACACACATTCCTACCACGGCCAATTCCCAGCTACCAAGAGGATCTCGATGAATGAATTGCAAAGAGAGGCACACAATAAGCCCGCTCTGCACACTGCTGACCCTAAGCCTGGAGCCCTGACAATCACCATTAGCCAAGCCCCCGCCGTGTGCCGAGCACCGTGCTAAGTACAGAACAAAAACGGGAGCTGACATTGACCTTGCAGTCAACGTATGCCAGAGTGTTCTAAGCGCTCTGATTAACGTGTACTCATTTGCTCCACCCCTCAGTAACCCCAGAAAGAAGGTGGTGTTCCCCCAGGTTACAGGAGAGGATCCTGAGGCCCAGAGAAGTTTAGTAACTGCTCATGGTCACACAGCCAGTAACCAGCAAAGGAGAGATCTGACCCCAGGCCGTCTGCCCCACGCAACGGAGCCTCCTCACCACCTCCCTCCAAGGAAGATATTATCTGCCCATTCCACAAATAAGGACTCTGATACTTAAAAAGTCTCCTTGACTGGCCCATGTAGTTAATAAGGGAACCAGGACAGTGACTCCGTGACGAAGACCACCACATCTCCCTCTAGTTCATGCCTGCGGCCATCTCTCAATTTATCCCACAGGATTTCAGCACCATGTACACAGCAAGTGCTCAATAAATGATCCAGGAATGAATGAAGCAAAAGGGTCTGCCTTTGGAGCTCACCTGCAGCTTCCTTCTGAGGCCTTGCCCCTCCTCTCCTGCCCTGCCTGGCTGGCCCAGGTGCTGTGCTGAGGGTCTCTGTGCCCCGGACACACCTGTGGGTGCGCAGTGGGGAGAGGGGGCTGAAGTCTTCTCGGCAAGCCAGCCTGGGCCTTCAGCAGAGACGGGAGGGAAAGAGGCGCCACACCACGACAGCCCCCTCCCTGGTCCCTCTGCAGGGAGCTGGATTCTGCTGTGATCACCTCTGTCTAGACAGAGAGGGAAGGAGGCCAGCAGCCCCCAGGGACAATGCTAGTCCCCATCACCGCCTGCCCAGCTTCTAGCCCGGAGTTCCTGGTACAGACGTGCTAGGATCAGTGGCTGAAGGGGCCTGAGCAAGTCGGAGAGGAGAGGCTGAGAGTCAGAGAGGAGACGGGGCCTCAGAAAGAGGCCGGGGGACGGGGGCGGGTAAGTGGCTTTCTTCTCTGACAGAAGACTGTGAGTCTTCACGTGGCCCTAGCCACGTGGGGCTGTGTGTGGCACCCAGACACCTGGACGCCAGCTGACAGCGCTTCCGTGAGCCCCACCTCCTGTCCCCATATCTTCCTTCCCTCTCCTCCCCCAGAGGCGGCACAGGGGGCCGCTGTGGGCACGGCTTCTCTCCTCTGCTGCTGGCTCTCCACTCTCCATCCTCAGCCGGGCCGACCTCACACAGCGAGGAGCAGAGGGCCAGCAGGGGGCCAGGGGCCCTTCGAGAATGTAGAGCCCAACCCTGGAGGCTCAGAAGGTGGTTAATGGGGACCCCTCACAGCATGAGAACCCGAAGGTGAGTTCTGTGACTCTCAGCTGACCCCACCCAGGGCCATTCCCAGGGCCGCCAGGGAGGCAGAAAGTCCCAGAGCAGAGATGGAGCGGGGCCATCCTGGGAGAAGAGTAGTCGAAGCCAGACGGGCTTCCGTCACACCGGGTGCTTCGCATACCTTGTGCCAGTGACCTCCCGACAGTCCCATGAAGAGCAGCCCACCATCAATCCGCCGGACTGACGGGAACACTGGGGATCGGTGTGGCTGAGTCACTTGCCCCAGCTCACGCAGATCACCGGCCAGGCCAGGATGAGAATTAGGCTGCTGGGCTCGAAAGCCTGGGCTCTTACCTCCACAAAAACCCACCCCCGGGCCAAGACCAGTCTTGTTCAAAACAGTGCCTGACTCAGGGAAGCCTCAGCTGGCGTCAGGCAGAGGGATGACCCCTGAGGCCTATTAGATTCTCGTTCCCTCTCTCTCCCCGCGGCTGGGGGCAGGCACCCTGCCCAGGACTCACCCCCAACCCTGCCCAGCCGGCTCCCAGCAAATGCACCTGTAGGTTCACCCCTTTCTTCACCCTCAAGCCCCTCGCCCAGGGCCTGCCTGGAAGATGGAGGGAGTCAGAGGGACAAGAACATCAGGACAAGAGTGTGGACATGGCCTTCTCCCTGTGAGTCCCCAGAGCTGGGTGCACTGCACCAGTCCCCCCCCCACTCCCTCCCGCACACCTCAAGCCCCCTCCATTAGCACACATGCCAGTTCTCTGGACATACACCTTCTTCACTGGCTTCCATCCCTACCCCGAGGGGTGTCCTGGGGGCTTTGCAAAGTCAGCCTCACCACCCTTGGCAGCTCGGGATGGTAGAAAGCAGGCAGCCACCGGCTTCCAGCACACCAGCCCTGCCTCTCACCAGCTCAGCACACTGGGGCAAACGGTTTGGCCTGGTGGGGCTGGTCACCTATCAAATGGCTGTTGTAAGAAGCAGCCCCGTAGGGTGGCCTGGATTGTTCAGCGAGAAGTCAAGAGGCTAATACAGCTCTTGACACGCAGCAAGCGGGTTCCTTTGAGGCACCCCCTCTTGGCATTCAAGGGGTTGCCTGGAACAGCCAGGTGGGGTGGGACTGGAGTGCAGGCAGAGGTCTTGGGGGGGCCCCATCTTGCCACTAGGACGCCAGGGTAAGCCTGAATCATGGGCTCCTGAGCTGGCTGCCCCATCCCAGCCTGGCCTCCTACCTGCCGCGAATTCTGAACATTCTCTCATCCTACCAGGGCAGGGGGCAAAGGGAGGAGAGGTCAGAGAGAGCTCCTCAGGGGTACCTGGAGGCCCTCCGGGCCAGCTGAACACAGGAAACATTTCCGGGGCAAAGAATCACCCAGGAAACTCACTCCCTGCACCACCACCCCCCCAAAAAAGCTCAATGAACACTGGACAGGAAGGTGCTCCTTAATCTTCCCTCCTCCCTGATCCCGTGTCCTCATATTTAAATGGCTATTGCTCTAGGTCCCTGAAATGGAAAGCTCCTAGCAACACATCCAGCACATAGTAGAAGCTCAGAACATCTTTTCCACCTGGGATAGGTGAAGGGCCTAGTACTCAGCCTGACACACATAGTAGGTGCTCAACTAGGATCATTTTCTTTAGATATGTAAAGCTGCCTATGATCCCCGCACAGAGGAGATGCTCAATCAGCTTAACTTTCCCTGGTCATGCAAAGCTTCCTCTAGCCTTCCTCCCACAAGCCTCAAACCTTTCTATCTGGCTTCCCCCACTTCCGCCAGCTCCCCAGTTCTGTTGGGGTGTCTCTCTCCTACCTGAGAATGGCGGGCTGGGGCTCTGGCACAGCTTGGAGGGCTGCCTGGAAGCGCCTGGAGGTGCGGGGAACTGCTGGCCTCTCCGGCCGCCGCCGCCGTCGCCGCCGAGGCTTCCAGAGTCTGCAGCGGCTCCGGGGTCACTGCGCCGGGCTCCTCCTCTGCGCGGCTCCGGGCGCCGGGCTGGGCGCGGCCGGGCGAGGGGACATGGGGAGCCGGTGCCCCATTGGTGGGTTCCAAGGGCTCAGAGGGGCCTGGGCACCGGGCGGGCTCGGGCTCGCCGCCGGCCCTGCCCTGCCCCGACCCGGGGGACTCCTGCTGAGCCAGGTGCCCGGAGGCGCGGGGACGTCCGATCCCGGGGTCCCCGCCTAGGTCTCCGGGGCTGGGGGAGGGCGGTAGGGGCGAGTCCGGGGCTTTAAGAGGGTCCTTTGGAGCTGCCTGTGGGTGCGTGCGTGTGTGCGCGTCCGGAGTGGGCGAACCTGTGCTGGCCGCCTATGCCACCTTCTCCGCCCGCTCGGGGGGGAGGGGGGGGTCGCTCGGGGTGGGGGTGCTGCCCCGCTCGCCGCGGCCTCCTCCTCTGCCTGCAGCTCTGCAGCTCTCCCCGCGCCGGAGGGACGGCTCCTTTCTCCCTGCGAGGCGACGCCAGCAGCTGGAGGAGGAGCAGGGCGCTCAGCTCCGCGCGCGTGTGGGAGGGGGCCTTGAACGCCGCCCCAAGGTTTCGCACGTAGCTCCGAGTTAGCCTTAAACACGCTCCTCCTCCCACTTCACCTCCTCTGGCCCTCGGAGGAGGCGAACTTTCTGCGAGCCCAAGCTCCTCCCTCCCTCCCTCTCCTGGAGGCGAACGCCCCTCTCTCCCGCAGGGCGAGGTCAATTGTCCCTCCCGAAAGCGGTCGCAGCCGGGGCTCCCGGTGGCGAGCCCAGCGGCAGAAGCCCAGCTGGCCTGGGCGCTCTCCGCCGCGCCTGCGAGCGTCCCTCCGCGGACCCGTCGCGCAGCCCCCGGCCGCCCCCTCCCCGGCCCGCGAGCAGCGGGTCCCGCCGCCCTGCGCCCGCCTCGGCCTGTCGGAGCGCGCTCGCCCGCCTTGCCCGGCGCCCCGCCCCTAGCACTGCGATCGGCCAATGGGCGGCGGGTCCCGCGGCCCGGCCCCGCCCCGTCCCGCCCGCCCCGCCCGCCCAGCCCGCGGCAGCCCGGGCGCCGCAGTCTGGCGCTCCGCGTGCCGGGGCGCGTGGGGTCGGGGCTGCTGCTGGGGCGGCTGGGGGTGCGCACCGTGACCGGAAGGTGGCACCAGCCTCGGGGGCTGACGTCTGCACGCGCATTCGCACGCACACCGCGCCGGCCGCAGGTGACCCCTGAGGGTCCCGCAGCCAGTCGCCCGCGGTCCCCCCAGCCCGCGCGCCAGGACTCCTGCGTCCTCGCCCATCGCGGAAATGCCCAGGTGCCCTGCCGGTGTCCGGCCTGCCCGCCCCGAGATCTCGGGCCCGCGGGACCCTGCGGGATGGCGCGTGAACCCCGCACGTGCCGCCCGGAGGGGCCGCGGAGTCACCGAGCGGAGGTCTGTGCGCGCAGGTCTCGGAGAGCACTGTTGAGAGAGCCTTGCTGGGGATGAGCCGGGCGCCTTGGGCATTCAACTCCATTCTCCCTGCCTTGACCTAGGGCAGACATCAGTCGTTCCTATTATGCCATATCTAGACATCACTTATTACTTAGTATTTTCTTAAATCCAAGACCCACTCTCCCCCCAACACATTTTTTTTAGAGGATCGTTATATCACTGCCTTAAATGGGAAGCCAGTATCACTTGCCATAAATAGAAGGTAAGAGTAAAAATAAACACAGTGAAAACAAACCAAGGTTATTAAATTCTAGTTGGAAACTCACATGCCAGGGCTTGCGAAGTGCCTTCAGTGAAAGATGAGAGATTGGCAAAGTTTGGAGAGGTGTCAAAGACCTATTTATTAGCACCCATCAGAGACTTCTTCCTTCATGCTTTCAGGAGGCTGAAAAGAGACTGTTCTCACTGTGTGATAGGGTGAAGGGACACATACTGTCTGTCAAACCATATTTTGTATTATCCAGAGAACTGTCCATCACTTGCAGAACCCTGAACCTGGAGGATGTCTGCCAATCTTCCCTCCACTACCAGACCTATTCTCCCACCTCATGGTGAGTGGTGGGAGTCTGAGGGGCACCAAGCTGAGGGTCCAGCTCCAATGGGTGAGAGACTGGCGTTCAAGACCTGCCTCTGTAACCCCTCAAATATTTGGCCCTGGGCCAGTCATGTTTCCATCACTAGTCAATCTTCAAGGACTAGATGGGGTCACAAAGGGCTGACCTGTACAGTTGTGCAGGTTGCTTACTGGCTCAAGGGCACTTAGCTAAGGAAATTCAGCTTGTGCTTTCCTCTGGGCCTTGGTTGTGTCACCTATAAAATGGGTATGATAGGCTAGGTCCACAGAGTGCCAAAATCATCTTAGACTTTGATTATAGAAAGTGGCTTGCTCTGCTTTGTCCCTGTGTGGTCTCGAGGTTCCCTAGGGACATCAACCAGAGAATATGGGGTAGGTGGAGGAGGAGGTGGAGAGTGTGGTACTTGCATTACTTGATTATGTTTAGTCCCCCAATCAGAGGATGTGAAATCTGGGCTAGGGCTAAGGGATGTGCCCAACGTCACGCAGTCAGCAAATGGCAGGATCCCAGCCCAGCACTCTTTCCGCATCCAGACTTTGCTTCTAGGAACTGGCTTCGGCCCAGGAGGGCTTGTGCTCAGCTCGACACACAGAGGCTGTGAGCCTTGAGCTAGCTGTAAGCTGGACAGCAGGAGGCAGGCAAGGTGTCATGCTTCAGCGGGAAGGCTGGCGTCAGAAGCACTCAGGCCTTTGGGCCATTTCTCCCATTCCCATCTGGGAAATGTGGCAGGTGGCTAGCTCTGAGCCAGCCCAAGACCCATCACTTGCTGCTTCAGCCCCGTCCTCCACTCAGCCGGTCATGCTCCATGGACCTTATCTTGAGGGTTGCTGCACATGGAGCTGCAGGGCCCCGGGAGACCCACCTGCTCCTGTCCCTCCTCAAACGCCGAATGGCTCAGTCAATAAGCAGGTGCACGTAAGGGATCGATGCCCAAAGAAGCTTCACGTGGCAACAGCACGCTTCCCAGTTCTCCCTCTTTCCTATCCTTCCCCCACCCATTTGCCTCACCATCTCGAATGGCCCATTTGTTGTCGTCCCCTCCCTGCTTAGTGGGCTCCCTGTCCCGCCGCCCCAATCCATGACCACTTTAATCTTTTTCAAAGATATGCCACCCCCTGCTCAAGAATTGTCATGGCTTAAGACTTAAAATCTAAACCCCTTAGTCTGGCATCCAAAGCCTCCAACCAGGATCTAGTTCCCATTACGTCCCACCATCAACCTGCATTTCCAGCTAAATCAAACCATTTCCAGGTCCCTCGCGACGTTGGGACTTCCCTCCTCCAGGCCTTTATGTATCTGATCCCTCTAGCTGGGAGATCTTTTTCTCTATCTTTACTCAGTGAACTTCTACACATCCTTCAAAGCATGGTGTTCACATCTCTCCCCACAGAGCCTCCTAGTGGTGTGAATGTCGTCCTCTTCCGGGATCCCGTGGCAAAACAAAACAAAACAAAAAACCAAAAAACCCAAAACCTTGCTCTTGCATGTCGGTAACTGACCGTTCCTTTAAGCCTCAGTTTCTTTACCTGTAAAGTGGGTGTTATGTATCCACCTTATGGGTTGTTGGGAGGATTAAAATATACTGTAAAGTGCCTCGCACTGGGGGCCCTGCATACAGTAGCCTCCATCATGATTACTTCCCTTATGGCCTATGTCACATCCTGCCATACACTTTGGACATGTGCCTCATCATCCCCATTAGCACGTGAGCTCCCTGGAGTGGGGACAGAGCCTGATTCATCTTCGTATTCCCACATCATTAAGGGCAGCATCTTACACATTGTGCGTTTTTTAATAAATGCTTATTGAATTGGGCTCAGCTCAACAGCCGCAGAGCAGAAGCAATGCGCGAGCTCTCCTTGGAAACAAGAGGAAGGGGAGGCAGGCACGCACAGCGAGGCAGAGTTCAGTTTAGTTCTCCCAAAAAACCCCACTTACAGAAGGGGAAACTGAGGCTCAGGGAGGCTGTTCAGAACCAGGCCACTAATGGGAGAGATTCAAAAGACATTTCTCCAAAGGGAAGTAATGTGTTTGCCCAACCAATGTCCTGTCACATCCCTGGCTGCTTTTCTAGAACAGTGGTTCCTGTCCCCGGCAGAGAATAAAAATCACCTTGGGGGAGGCTTACGTGATAACAAAGCCCAGGCTCCTGCTCAGAGGCACTGATTTAATTGCTCTGGTGTTGGGCTTGATATCCACACTGTCTAAAGCTCTCCCAAGTGAGTCTAGTGTGCAGCCTGGTTTGCTCAGTGGTAGAGCGGTGGTTCTCAAAGCATGGTTCCTGGACCAGCAGCATTAGCACTATCTAGAGAACTTGTTAGTAATACGGGTCTCACCCCGGACCCACTGAATGGGAAGATCTGAGGCAAGGCCCAGCCACCGGGGTTTTAACTAGCCCTCCTAGGAATTCCGATGCATGCCAAAGTTTGAGAAACTTTGATTTCTGATCAGAAGATTAAAATTGGCAAAACCTTAGTGGTCATGTGGCCCGATCTTTCTGTTTTGAAGACAAAGTGATGGTTGGTGGCTTCACCAAATTCAACACATGTTACTAGCTGGCTAGACGCAGAGCCCAGGCATCTGAATCAGCCTCGAGGCTTTAGCCCAGGTCACTGGGTCATCAGCAGCACGAGCCCAGCTGGATCAGGAGCATGGGGTCAGGTGCCAGCATTACAGGGCCTTGCCAAACATCCCTTGAGGTGGGAACAATAAGCATGGGTCAGCAGGAACACAGGTGAACCAACCACACCTGTGCCCTTCTTCTCATCTGACCACTTCCGCCTCCTGCTGAGCACAGAGATGGCATTTGTCACGTGGTTAAGTATTCAATAAATGTCCAGTT